CTCTAGTATGTTAAGTGTTAAATTGAGATGCGTAATATCAAATGGACCTAATTGCTAAAAATAAAAGTTACTGTACAATAAAAACTAAGCATAAAGTGACTGTGTTGTATTAGACATTTTGAACCTGTAAGGTGAAAGAGGAAAAAGAAGATGGTTGTGAGTGGTAAACAAAACGAAAATCACTTTGTTCTGTCGATATGACAAATAACAAAAAGGTGTATATAAAGCTATGTGAGTGCACTGTAGGTGATAAACTAAAAATAGCAGACTGAACAAGTTTCTCATAGTTTATTAAGAAACATTAGTCTCTGCAGTGCTGATGTATAAACACCTCACTCATCATTTGTCACTTTCCGCTGACATGTTTGTTCCTTCACTGTATATTTCCAATCAAAACTCTGTAGTGAAATGCGGCCAGAAATAGTGCCTGTATCATTTGCTCATTGTGTAAACACGTAGCAACTGCAGGCAGCTATTGCGGATGAGCTCGGATGTGTGCAGCAGAATGAGGCATCGATTCCCAAAGTCCGCCGGGACCCTCGGAATTGGCTTGAAACTATTTGATTTAGAAAATTCAAACCTGGATATGTTACTCTATTGTAATGACGACAGAAAATCTGAGTGAGAACACAAGAAGGAGCATATGAAGGCTATTCACATGGATTTTTAGAATTTTTAACCTTGTTAACGAATCCCCAACCCAGGTTTAACTACTGGGATCAATGTTAGATGCAAAAATGTTTTTACTTGAGTTTAATTTGCAAAGTTTCATGGTTCTGCAGCCAGTTTAACAGAGCCAGTCTACTGCGCTCCTCCTTTACGACTCACAAGGTTTTATTGAAAAGATAGGGAAGGTGACAAAATGATATACATTTTGTTGTATATTGGCTGCATTTCCAGCAGCAGGGGTGGGGTAATTCCCCCCAGAACATAAGAAAAGATGACAGGGGAGCTCAATACTTATTACTGACATGCTGAGTGTCTTTTTCTAAAGAAGCATTATTGATTCCCTGCTGACAAAAATCTGCGTGAAAGACACTTCAAAGCCCACTGGTGTGAGTCACAATCTGAAAGATGAGCCTGATGCTTAGGCTGCAAGATGTTTTAGCTGGGAGATGAGTTGACAACATATTGATTAAAGCAACATGTTATCTACAGTATGAGTAGATATGCACACACACACACAGACAGACACACACGTACAAACGTGTGTAAAGTATCTTTCATATAACCACAATTACAACCACATAAACCAAACAGCTGTGTATCAGTCAGAGCTGTAAATGCATGGCAGCCAGGGGACTGATCTGGCGTTAAACCTTGACATACCAGCAAATCAACTGACTGCAGTTCACAAACACAAACACACACACACATACACACACACACACACACACAAAACAAATAAAAAGGAAAAAAATAAACTTTTTTATTGGATGCCCAGAAACGGTCAGTGATCAAACTCCAACTACCAAAAGAGCCACAGTGATTTAGTGGAGCTAAAAACCATTATGGCTCCATCTAAAGGTAATGACTTCTTCAAGCCTTCCAGCTGATTCTTCAGAACAAGTGTGGGAGGGGAAAATACACACGATGTGGTCACATCAGGGGCTTTAGTACAGAACAGCATGACGTCTTGAAAGAGTCCACACTGACATCACCTATCTTTAAGTCGTACACTATAGTAGTATCTCTTATTTCCACTGAACTACATCAACGTTGCGTGTATATATGTTGGAGTTATAGTGAATGCTCAAATTAACTGTGGAAAAAAATGCAGGTGGCAAAAAGCTTTTTTCTCTGCTATTTGCGCTGCACTGCTGTTTTATCAAAAGCTTTTTTTTCCACAGATATTTCATCGGTTTTTTCTCACTTCCTGACTGTAACAAAATAAATATACACAATTTTGCTATTGCATTCACACTCGTGACCTTGAATGTTTTCGGTGCTGAAGCACATCATCAAACTCACCTGCTGAACCCTGAAGTCCTCATCAATACACTGCATAGTTAAATGAGAGACACTCGGCTGGCATTGCTATGTCACCTGTAATGTTTTTGAGCTTTTGTCAGTTTTACAGCTTTCTGTGGTGTGTTGATGACTGGGAATCTCCATTATGGCTCCAATATGCTGACAAGGCAACAGAATCCTGAATCATCTACAAATGGCACTGTGGAAAAGCAGACAGTGGGTTGGGCACTGGGTTGTCTCTAGACATTTTCTCTTATCCCTGCAGTATTGGCTACAAAGCTGGTTACTACTGTTTCATTGCACGCCTGCTGTGTTTTCAGATATCTTACATAAATACGCATATTTCCACAATACTGCTCCTTGTCCACCTTCCTGCCCAGCCAGGTAGGCAGTTAATGTTTTAAAGTGAACCGAAAGTAAATATAAGAACAAATTAATGACCACGGTACAGCACAGTACCAGATACAGGAACTGAGATCTACACATCCTTACATGGTGCTGACATTTATGCAAGAGACTAGTATATTTCAGCAATGCTAATGGTTCAACTTGGTGATTTGCTCAAGCTTCAAAGTGCTCATTTTTCCTGCACTATTACAGTCATTTATAAAACTATTTGTTATCTTGAATGAGGCAGCTAAACTTAAATTACTCTAGGAAACATTCTGACAAGAGAAAAATCTATGAGAAATGCTTTTCAAGTGTCTGAACAGAAATTGTTGAGAAATGTGTCTTGGAGCAAAGCGGGGAATCTTAACATACGGCATGAAGCAGTAAGTGTTGATGGAGAATTGCATGGCACTTAGTGATTTAAAGAAAAAAAAAAAAACCCCGAGCTGAAGTGTGTACCTTCCCATGAAGAATTACCTTTCAGCTTCTCCTTGGAAAGGACTAAAACTGAATTTGAGCAACCTTTTGCACAGAATTGAGCATCGAGACACAGTAACCTCTAAGTGTTGACAACAACGTGAAGCACTGCCTCTCCTTTCAATAGATAGTAGGTATAAAATAAAGGTAACATTGTGAACCAGATCTCTGGCAGTGAGTTCTCCACTCAGATTTATATTGATTTTCTGGTGCTGTATATATTAAGTTGTGAATCAAATAAAAAATGACAATAGCAACTCATAGTTGGGGGCGTAAATAAATATCACACAGGTCTGCTGGGTGTAAAATACATTTCCACCTACTGAATAAAGATATGAGAAAGTTATAGTAAAGCAGAAGCTTCTTTAACAAGCAGCTGTAGCATCAATGAAATCTTATCTCGTATAGACAAATGCAGAAGGTCCAACTGCTGTTATGCTGCATAAAAAAACCCCCAATTGCTTTTGCTTTTATTCCATAAACCTATTTGTTAGGAAAGCTAAAAATAAAAATAAAAAGTCCCTATGACATTACAAACATGTCTATAAAGCCTCATTAACTCTGAGACTCATCCTTGATTAGAGCCAGCTTTAGGCCAGTGCAATAATTGGCATCCTCCAAATAATTGCAGCAGAGAGTTCTTTACCGAGGTAGGTAACGAACTCTAATCCTGTAAAGTGCTTAATTCAAAGGTGGAAGTGGCTAATGCTACTTACACTATACACTGTACTTACAGTGCATATGAAGAACATGCATGGTCTGAGGTGCGGGTCATGATTGTATGTAATTAGAAAATATTTGCATTAAAGAAGGAAAAGTGCTAGAAGCTGACAGAAACAAAAAAAACCTGGATATGGAATCTGCACACCTTGTCATAAAGTGACTCAGGAATTGTGTCTGTTCTGAGTCATCCACAAAAATCACCCACCACAAACCACCAAACACATGCAAATGTTCAGCCCATAAACTGGTCAGGAGATGTGGTTGGCTCCTGGGCAGGTCAACGCTTGAAGCTGGACCAGCGGGACCTGAGCCACTGCCGCCCCCTCCTCTCCTCTCCTCTCCTCTCCGCACTGCTCTATACGCCTAGATCATCACTAAGGCGCCTTTTTTCCTCTTCTACGACGCCAACGCTGAAGAGATAAGCAAACCTGGAGCTGAACCAAAGTGAAAGCTCAGCATGCACAAAAGCCACATTAATCCTATTGAATTCCTCATCATGATCGACAGCCCCAAGTCCATTAATTAATTCATGATCCCTTCTGTGATCGCCCTACATAGCATGCAGCGAATATACAGACGGGTCTCAAATTATGGGAAAAACTCAAACGCTTGAGCCCTGTGGTGGTTTCCATGGGGGCATTTTGGTTGCATGCCTTGGGCCCACTTGTCTTGTTAGAAGGAAGGGTCTTTACAAAGTTGTTCAGGGTGATGAAACATTTCTATTCTAATGGGAGAGGTCTTTTCCAGGATGACAATGCTGTTGATGAAAATGATGTGACTCATACGCTGTAGCATTCCCTGTCACGAGACTTCAACCCAGCTGAACTCCTGTGGGAGATTCTGGCCCATGTGTTAGACGGCTCTCTCCACTACTGTCATCAAAACACCAAATAAGAGGATATCCTTTCAGAAGAATTATGTTCAGTCCCTCCAGTATAGTCCTGAAGGCTCAATCAGGAGAGGCACTGAAGCTGTTCTGGCAGCACTTTATTAAGACGATTCATGTTTGTTTTTTTAATTTTTCACCTATTTGTATAAGTATCACGATGGCAAGTGTACTCTCCTCTAGCACAGATATTGATTTGTCTTTATGCGCAGACATTTACAGATAGCACCCAGTTACATGTTGCATACAGCAACACAAAACAGTCACAAAGACAATTTATATCCGATTCCAAAGGGACAAAAAAGCATTATTATTCTAATTGAGTTCTCTTGAGGATATGACTAAAGAGCAGCAGTGGTTCAGTAAACATGCAGTAAAAAGTAGGACTTCTACAGTAGCCGCACATGTACTTTTTTCTAGCAAACAAACGTACTGAAGAGAAGATTAGCTGGAGGAATGGATTCTGCACAATGATGCAACTGCCAGAAAGGCGAAAAACAAAGCTAACTGTCTGCCTGACGATCTGCTCGTCTCACTATCTGTGTAGACTTACCTTTCATACCGAATTTGGAGCGCCGGCCGTATTTGTTGATGAGAACAAAAAGGACTAGGAGGAGGACGCAAGCAAAGCCCGCCAAACCCACAGCAATGGAAACCTGCAGAAATGAGATGCTGTGTCAGATTCACGCAGCCATCAGAGGAATGTGTTCACATCATAATCCCTTCCAAATTTCTGATCACCTTAAGCAGAGTTTAAGGGACTAGATTTTGACAACCGCTTTCTTGTAGATTACACCAGTGTGGAAGAAAGTTAAAATCTGTCCTGTTTGTGATGTGTTCTGGTTGACAGAATGTAATTTAAATACGATTCTCATCTACAGCCAGACTTACTGTATGATGTGACTCTAAGTGACTGCTGCTGCTTTGGAAAATCCTGCTTATCCTCCTCATCAAAACCTGTTATTTTTGATTTAAACTGAATAAACCAGGATGTTTAAAAGTACAGCACACAACTTCTTTTTATGGGTTTATCGTCACCTACAGGTGATGATGAGAACCACACACAATATTTGATTTTTGCTGCTCTGGATCTTTCAATTTTTTTAAAAAAGTAATTGTTTGATGATTGCATTTTGAATTTTGCAGTGAAAATCTGACATTAGTCAGTTACAGTTTACAGTCTGGTTAAGCAATTTAACTCAAGGTCAATTAATCCATGTTTATTCATATTATGCCATTTAAACAGAACTAGAATTTTTGCAACTTAATTTTAATATGTTAATTAAAATGCACATACAGATACTGTAGTTTTTGTATGGCAAATTCAATATTGAGGTAGCCCAACACTGTTATCTGTAGTCAAAATAATCCCACAAGAAGTTGAGTTGAATCCAGTATAATGTTATTAGGTAAATAAAAGGTATATAACTACACTGAAACAGAACCAAAATGAAACTCATGTTATACTGCATATAAATATAAGTAAAAATTTATCTGAACACTGTTGGATAATTTAAGTACTGAAAGCTGTGTGCCAGTGTGCAACACCGTTTGGCTATGAAACCTCCGTTTCATCCCTTTGGCCAGAAGTGACCACATAGGTGAGAGTGAAATGATAAACTATTGCCCAGTATGGGTAAGCTTGGTAGCCTGGTGCATCCATAGTATTTCTGGGTACATCACACTGATACACGCTAATTAGTACATATTAATATGCAAAGAGAATGCTGTAATTTCACTCATCAAAACTGGAGCATAGACTGGCTTTTAGTACAATTAACTGTGTTCCAAGCCATTGTGTCTGTCAGTCAACAATATGCAATAAAAGGGAGCAACGCCACAAACACTAGCGGAGGTGCTGCCTATAACTAGTGGCTTAGTTGGTACCCACCTGTCACTCAAAGTAGTCTCATCATCAATATGCATAATGTCAAGCTTTAATGAAAATTACTAAAAAGAATACTAATGACAATAATATGAATAAAAAATATTACTAAAATGTGAAAGGGCGAGCTATAACAAATTTCACCCCCATGTAGTTGTTATGACAGAAGAAACTACCTACAGTGACCAAAACTGTTGATAGCTGTGAAGTTGTAGGAATTGCAATTTTGTCTTTTATATTTTATATTTAACGAAAGAGAAACTTAAGCAAGTAGAGCAAATATAAATAAATAAATCAGAGGGTATTTCTATGGATGGTATGTGTTTTTTTTAACAGCCTCTGTAGTAAAGCTATAGCCTAATAACTGTAACATTAGGTCTAAAGCTAGGGACCACATATTTTTCTAGTTTTATTAATTTTCCCTTAGCAAAAATTCTAAAACACCATCAGTGGCAAATTTGGCAGCAAGCAGATGTAGCAGCAGAGACGCAGTGATGTTACTGCAGGGTTTTTTTGATTACAGATATTTGAGCTGGTCATTGCAGGAAAAGCACGGGCATAATTACCGCTAACAGTGTGTCGCTTCCATTAGGATATGACAGGGAAGCATGGATGTACAAGTCCCGGAAACTTTCCACCTCAATAACAGCAGCCATTATTGATGTTATTGGAGTTTCTGCTAGCACATGTCAACATGTGTGCTATTAAAAAAGTCTATTAAAAGCACATTATTGAAATCCAGTGGAATAACTCACCGGCACTGGTTTCAGAAACTGTACAAAACCCCTATGTTAAATAACATTTCAAAACAGCATCATCCACTGCAGGATACCATCATCAGCATCATTAAAGTCCAAACATATAACTCTGACTGTAACATTGTTTGCTGTGTTGTAGCCTTTGAAGCTCAGCGTTGCATGTCAAGGCAAGCAAATAGCCCTGCAAGGGGTCTTTGACAAATAAAAAGTAGTTTATGCTTGTGTTGAAACACACATCAGCTTTCTGCTGAGACCAGGGGCCCCAACTTTAGCAGCTGTTTCATCAACATCATTAAGGAGAAAACTCACCCCAAATGTATCTTCGTCTGGTGGTCTTGGATGTGGCGGCGTAACTGCAACACAGAAGCACAAAAGCAGGCATCAGTGGCTGTGGTAGGAAAAAAACACTCTAATGACTGCAGTTTACTGCAACAGTCCTTTTAAAGTAAATATGTATAATGATTTTACACTTCATACTGTGTATTCTCAGGGAAAAAAAGTACAAAACACAGCGGATAAAAAAGAATAAGCAGTTTTTTTTTTTAATCTGCAGTGGTGTTATTCCACTGCATGAACCTGTTTATGCACCCGTTATCACACTAAATAGGCGAAACATTTACACGGGTTAAAGCACAGCCTAACAGACTCGAATTAGTTGACCTGATGTGCTCTCTAGTATATATAATTGAGAGCATATTTTCAGTATCTCCATGAAGCCAAATGGTGTGATTAATGTTTTCAGATGGGTCTCACTGCCAGCTGAAAATATCCATTTGCAGTTTTCTCATTTGTGTGTGTGTTTAACATAAACTGCTGGAAATAAATAGTGTACAAATGTTGTGCCTCAAAACATAAACATAAACAGACTTTGCCCTCCTTTTAGAAGCATTTTGACACAAGCATGAAGAGTGTCGCCTTCACTTGTTTGATCCATCAAACATTGCTAGAGACAATGTCGGCGACCAGTGTGTGTGTGTGTGTGTTTTTTAATATAAATGTTGTGGTGTTGAGTTAAAAGTCTGTAGAGGAACAAATGCATATTCAAATCTGACACCTGTCACAAGTTTCCTACCAAAGCCTGAAATTTGCTATCCAGTCAGACTCAAGTCTCACATGAAAAGTGACAAAAAGACATTGTGGAGTTTTTAGAACAGTTGAACAAAGACATGGTCGTGCTTGCACATACGAAAGACAGAATAATTACAACAAGCTGCTTAGCAATTATACACAATTATACAAGCAGAAAAAAATCAAAAGAAGGTAACACAATATTGACTGACAAATATTAAATCAGGTAAAAATGAAATCAGCTGAAAAAGGCACAAAAATTATATAGCCGCACAGGACTTCAATTTTCTGTTGTACTCAGCTCAAGCTGCACAAATCCGCGGTCAGCAGGTATTTCTGAAACCAGCAGTTTAAATACTAGATGTTGCTCCTATACACACAAGAGTTTGGCATACAGGGGAGTGTCATGAGACAGAGCCATGAAATGAAATGAACTTGTGCTCTAGTCTGAGGCTTCCAGCCAGGACATCAGAGAGTAATTGTGGGCAAATTAATGGCCACATGGTAGACTGGCTGCTACTGGCTCAGACACACTGAAGTGTGAGTGTGTGTGTCCTAACTACCATCTCCCTCCAAGCCTTCATCCCTCTCTCCTCTCCTCCCTCTGCCCTCCTCTCTCCTCATCACTGTTAGTATCAGCCAGCCTGTCAGTCTCTCTTGTATGGCTGAACTCCCTCGCGCTCTGCTGCCATAATGTTTCACACTCTAAACACCTCTCCCTCACCTGCCTCACTCCCAGAAGCTGCGTGACTGTGTGCATGTATAGCAACGTGATGTCGCCGCCTGCCTCATGCAGCTCGCCACAGGGTCAGCATCCATCCGTCTCCATCTCTGGCCATGCTGCAGCTTTATAATACATGGCTGATTAGAAAGAATGGCCTCATATGGAGATGGAAGAAGATGCTGATGAAGGTCAGAGATCAGGCGAGCCCACTTTGTTTAACAGTGAGACGGCCACAACAGCCTGAGGCCAGACAGCACATCGCACACCGGAGATTTATGAAGCGGCGAGAGTGGGCCGAAGCCATCGGTCCAGCAATATGACTGCATTTACACTACACTGCTTCCCAAACAATCGCACATCAACAGCTAACAGGGTTGGAAATTCACCTGCTTACACTGTTGCTGGTTATTTTTTAAAAACTGAATTATCTATAAGACTATCATTTTTTTACTTACTGAAGTGAGCCTATTACCAATGTTTTTATTGTTATTTTCTGGTTTTCATGCAGCTTCTCAACCCCAAACTGTTTTCTACTATGGGAGGAAATGTCTAGAACAGGGTTATCAAACATAAGGCTTGTGGGCCAGAATTGGCCTGGAAGAGACTCCAATCCGGTCCACTGGACAGCTTTGAAAAATGTGAAGGAGGGTATAGATTTTGGACTTTTAACTCTGTTTTCATAGGTTTTGCAGCATTTCCTACTGATAAAGTGGTAAATCTGGCCCCAATGAGCAGGAAAACTCACTATGACAGTGCATGTAATGTTTGGGAATGTAGGAGAAAAACCAAAGCTTCTTCTGAAATATCAAATTTCCTGTAATAAAAAAAGGCAGAGAAGTGTCTGCTGAAATTTGATGGTATGAACCACTGAGAGACAGCTGTCCTGGTTTAGAGATCCAACTAACAGTAACATAAGACATGGGTGTGTAAAGAATCACGTATTTGTTTAGTGTATAGAGTGATCATTAACCATGTAAAATGAAATTGGATTTTTTTGTCTGGGATCCATAATTTAAATAAGGAAGATGATAATGCCATCTGACATTAACAACACAAAACTGAGTAGCAACACAAAGTGAACAAATTTCTCCACTGTTACCGAGTCAATTGTGCTCGTCAAACACAAGTGGTGTGTGTGTGTGTGCGCACATTTACCAAACAAACAGGAAAAAAAACAAAGCTCAACAAAAATTTGACAGGCTTACATTTGAAAATAGACACACTCACCTTCTTCCACCGGGTCTGCAAAAGAGAAGACAGAAGAAGTCACGCTATGTCAATAAATTGACACAAGGTATTAACCTTGCAATATTGACCATAAGGAGAAATTTGCCAGTCTTTGTGGGTTTATGCCCCCTCCCTGTGAACTCAGCATGAACCGCAAGTGAACGATCTACCTGACTGAACTGTGGATGAACCCTGGCGGCTGTAAAACCAGCAGGGATCAACTGTGCAACCTGTGCCCTGTGAAGGAAGATTTTAATAAAAAGTAAATGCCCCCGACAGAATTTCCAACAGCGACGCAACCTGTGAGTCATACAACAGGTAGTTAAAAAAGAAAAGCAATCCAACAGTGATGCTCACGCCCAAAAAGTGGGCCGAGCCAGCTCTTATGGGAATCAGAGAGTTACTTGGCAGCATTTTTATTCTTTCCTCTTTGATTCTTATTTAAATGCTGAGGAATGAAGAAAGGCAATGCACAAACACTGAGCGCTAGTATCATTTGTATAAAGGCCTTTTCCCCATGCGTTCACTATCAGTGCTGCCAAACGCACATCACTTGCCACCTAGAACGAAATGTCTATAAAAATTTGTTATCCATTCACCTGGCTCATCGGGGTTCTCGAGGAAGTGACCATACACCGTCTTGGTGACCGTTCCCAGAGCGTTGCTGGCCTCCAGGGTATAGTTGCCATTGTTGATGTGAGTTGGGTTCTGGAAGGTCAGACAGCCCTCGAGATAGTCCTGGTAGAAGTCCATTTCGGTCCGGATGTAGTCATTTTTTATAATTTCCTTCTGTTTGTGGAACCAGCGCAGCTGGGGTTGGGGGTAACCCCGAACCGTGAATTCAATGCAGGTATCAAGCCGCTGCTCGGGCTCAGCCAGTCTCAGGATGACTGGAGGAACTGCAGTGGGAAAGGAGACATTTGAAACAATGAACGCATACCTACACACATTCACACATGACGGAGCAGATCAAAAGTTATTTGCTTATTAAAATCCTCATCAGTGTGCCTGTTTGGTGTTTGACATAATACAAGCCCTATGTGCTGAGAAATTTCCACAGCCCTTGGGGTGGTGAAAACCTGTACTAATTCTCTGAATAACCGTGAAAGAATACAGCAGCATATCAAACAGCGCAGGCTTGTTCTGGGGAACAATGACATTTACAGGCAGGTTTCTTTCCTGGGAGTGGCAATGAGCCTTTTACTGGGTGCTGCGTGTTGCAGAAGTACATTGGATTGGGTGAAGAACGAAATATATAGAAGGTCTCTTCGGGCTTGAAATAAACTGAAAAATTTCCTCTGCGTAAACAAGCACAGAGCTCTTCTTTCCTGACATGCAGCAGCACCTCTGAATTAACAATGCCACCAAGCTGAGAGGCACTTTGTCACTTTAATATCATCAGATACATTTCATAAACAATTCATCCACCGATTTGTCTACGCAATGAGTGAATTTTGCTACTGCAGAATTAAAAGGAAATATTTGGCAGTCAGTATTACCTGGCAGTGCCTCTCTGTCACCTCCACCGCTCATACGCACACGCATTCGTGATATCATTGATAAACCTATTTATTCAATTAGATCAGGGTTGCAGGTATGATTTAACGCGGTCGTTCAGCCTCACCAGCGAGTCTCCACCTGCAGTGTCACAACCGAGAGTGAGCAGTTTGTCACTGCGATCAAAGGAAGTGATTGCAAAAGAGAGCTGCTTGTCAGATTGTCAACATGTTCCAGAAATTCCCTAGCCCGACACTCTCCTAGTGTCAGAAATAGCGTCAATTCTTGTAGCTTTCTAAGACGGTCAATCTGGCTTTCACACCCACTTCATGCCTTGACTGGCCAGCTGTGCGAAGGTGAGAAAATAGGCAAAATAGGGTTTAAACTTTTCTCTCTTTCTTATTTCTTACACAATCATTTCTGCTATTTTTCATGTGAAACACTGAGGTCAACACTATGGATCCGTTCCAAGAGAGACTGAGTCTTATCTATATCCACGTAGTAATACTTCGTCCGCATCTCTGTGATGGTTGGCCATCCAGTGATGATTTTGGAAGAGCTAAAAACGCATTTGAGCGTAGCACAGCTGTAACTGTAAACACTGCAATCATGCTTAATTATTAGCAGTAATACACTGTGACTAATTAATTTGAAATGCCTGCCAGATAAGCTGATAATAAAAGTTACTGTCACTTTCAGCCCTGTCACTGATAGCTCATGTTTTCAATCCAAAATGATCGCCCTTTAAAGACTTGAACAAACTATTTATTGGTGTGTGAAAGCCGTCATCTAAAAAATTGCTTTGGTGACAGACAATAGTGACAATGGAGTCATTCAATTGAACTAAAGGCTACGGCTTGTGTATGTGCGAACGGGATGGTGTGGGGGCGTGTGCGGAGCTGTGATTTTGAGTGCAACAAGAAAAGAGAACAGATGACAGTAAAGAAACAGAGGAGGAGGAGGAGGAGGAGGAAGGAGTGAGGGTGTCTATAGAACTATACAGCCTAAAGAGAGAAAAAAACAGACAGAGAGGAAGAAAAAGAAATTTTCTTGTTGATGGACAGTTAGGGACTGATCCATTTTCCCCTCAGCTCGGCTGTCAGCTCAGTCTCGGTCAATACAATATAAGTCATTACTGTGCCACATACCAGTCTGTAACTACATGGTGTCCTCGTGGTGCTCGTACAGATGACAAGCTTTGATAACTACATGCGTTTGATCAGCAAGAACACTGAATACAAGGCTAGTTGTAATGTTATCTAGTGGTAACACTGGTGGTGTATTTCAAATGCCATGTTCCAGCCAAACTACAGATATGACATCGTGGCTGGCGGTGACAGGGGAGGCAACAGCTTCATGGGACAGATATTGCTTCATAATCCCCGGGGCTAAAGCCTATTGCGATTAAGTTTAACCTGTTAGAAGCAGCACCTGTACATGTAGAGTCACAGCAGGGATTCAATCACATAATTTCCCCATTAATTATCCTTAATTAGAGATTACGCCCTGCTCTACCTGTACAGCTAATGAGGGAGCAGAGCTACTAATACAGGTGTAAATTAGTGCCATACTCTTAATAGAGAGCTACACTTTGGCTACGGCGCTAAAGGAGGAAAACATGTGAGTCCACGCTGCTGTAGAGCCGCTATTGTTCCACACAGCAAAAGAACAATGTGCCTGCAGAATTTGCGTTGTGTTTAATTACGGTTTCACTAAAATAGGGAACTCATCTTTGAATGCAGAGAATGTCACTTGACGGCTGGTAATTTCGCTGTCAATCAGATTACTCCCTAATCAGAGAAGCAGTTTAAGCTATTTTATGACATTTCCAGAGACAATAGGCTGCACAGGGGAGGAAATGTAATTACCATCAGAGCATGTGGTGAAAAATTAATAAGTTAATTTGCAGCACCAGCAGAGTGTCAACAGGAGAGGGAAAAAAAAGCCTGGGGATGTACATCCATAGACCGTCCATGTGGAGGAAGCCCTGAAGACTACATGGTACAAAGTCAATCTGTCATTCTAGCATGGTCCTTAGCAAGCTCTGCTCCAGTAGGGAGTGTTTGAATTGGTGACAAATCTCCCCTGTCCTGTAGCATGATGCATCGCAAACAGCTACAATAGATTGAGTTCTACAAGAGGAGGCTTGCTACAAAGAGAAAGATGCCAGGCACCTTTGATTAATACTGGCTTTGAATACACTGTCCCAAATCTGCCCGGGGCCAATCCACTGGGTAAACTTATGTAAGAGCTCAAGTATATACTGTAACTCATGGTTGGGATATTAGAAATACGTTCGAGTGGTTACCAAATCATTGCTTTATCATAGCTGAGGGTGAGACTCCTTTCTCCTTTTCTTTCCACTCAGATCAAGGCAGAGCTTTCATGCGGGCTGGAGGGTATATTCTTGCTAATTAGCTACATCAATTTCACTTGGTTTGTAGCTGTGCAACACCTCATTGCATTCTAAATGTACCTGCATAATTTGGCTGTTCTGCTTGATAAAGAAGTTTCCCCCCCCCTCCTGTTTTAAATTATTCTCTCAGACAGTCAGTGTCATTAATACATGATATATTCTGTCCCCAACATAAGCCCATCAAAGCTGCCATGAAAGACATTTTACGCAAAAGAAAACCACCAAGAATTCTTGGCTCCAAGCATTCATACTGCCCACACTTGATTTAAAGTTTTAATTAAAATGAGGTATTTTATAGAGCAATTTATTATATTTTTGCGTTTTGGCTGATTGAGCATCAGAACAATTCCACATATCTTTGCATTTTTATTAATCCACAGTGTTCGGCTAAGGAACTCCCTTTTCAATATGTATAGGCTCATAATACATACATTTACTGCATACATATACATTTAATGCTTACATTTAATCATTATGTCTTAAAAAAAGATAACAAGAGCAGTATTACATGTGCTATACACTTATTAGTCGCTACAATTTTAGGACTGGCACAGAATTTACTATCACATCGACTATTATGTGCTATAAAGTTTCTGCAATAAAGCTGCAAACAGTTCAAATGCCATTTTATCGCTGATACTTTGAAATTTTCTATCTTTTAGTAAACTGGATTATTAATTGCACCAAATCTTGCAGATTTTATACCAAACCATGACAGTCCCCAGACAAGCTGATGGCCTCCAGTGTAGATAAACCACTTGCACAGTGGTAGGTAACAAGATTTCATTCCAAGTAATCACTAAACCAGCAGGCTTCACTGATTAATGTCTTCAACAACAGAGCAACATAATTCCAAATTTTAAGCATCTGAGTCTTGGTTAGAAGATCCATGACAAGTGAGGAAATAAGATTTAATAACCAAGAAACAACTACTGAGGGACACAATATAAATGTTATGGTGGCTTCAGTCAAGTGTTAAGTATTCCTGTTATAGCTGGGTTAATTGGGGTTGTTTCCCTCTAACCGAGCAAACAACATGATAGGTTAAGATTTTTTTCAGCCATGCTAGCAGCATAGCTTTGGGCTCACCACTTGTGTCCACGTGAAAATAACTCAACGACTGCTGGAGGGAAGATAATAATTTTTTGTACAAAAAGAGTCCTGCTGAATATGATATTTCCCAAATCTTTCATCTTCTGCAATCTTCAGATGGAAATACATTCTGATTTCTTAGAAACTGACAACTAACATTCATGTTACCCTGAAGATTATAAAACAAATTTTTTCCAGTATTTTAGTTTGCTTTCCCAAACATCCCCATTCTCATCGGATGCTCTTTGTCTTGACAGCTGATTATGGAAAGTTAGCATGCTGCCACAGTAACAAAAACAATCAAAAACTGTGAAACGTGGTCAAACTTTAGCAGGTTAAAGTTAGCTGCCAAAAAGGTTGAAGCCTCTTATACCATGTTTTCATCTAGCACTGACATGTTATTTCTATGCAGAGAAATTATCTGGATTCCAGCATTTGATTCATGGCTCTTTGCATTACAACTTATATTCTGTATGTTGACTGACTTTACGGATTTTAATTATCTGCTAATTCTTATTATTTACAACCATATGCATTTCTGAAAAAGCATAAAGCTGATTATGGTTAGACTATTTTTTTTCTTCTGCTCTCCACACAGACTGTTTAACGGCACACAAACCCTCTACTCAAGTGTTATTGGTCAAAATTCCTCAGACTAGTGGACTAAAAACATAAACAAGGAAGCTTAGGGTACTATTTTTTACACCTTGCCTACAGATTCTGTATATTCATATGCAGCTATCTGCTTATTGAGATTGCACCGCTGTCTCTCGCAGGTGTACAGAATGGGTTTGTTGCAGTGTTGTATTAAGATTTGCCCAATGAAAGATTAAAACAGCACTGCCTGTTACCCCATGCATGTGTCGTTCCTAATATGCGAAATATGGAAGGCAGATCATTGATTGGATCAGGAGTTAATCAGATGTTGTGACCCCATTTAAACTGTAGTGAAAACAATAACCAATCAGGCAGAAATTCTGGCAGAGTTAGGTGACCTGTCAACTTACAGGGTAGATTTGATTTCCTAAGAGAAGAGGCCAGGCTTTACAGAATACTTTTACATTTGGCTTAGATCCAAACACAGTGAGAGCCTGAACACCTCCAATTTTTGGACAAAACTTCAAGCCTTTAGCATCTGTTTCAGTTAAATGATCTGGCTACAGATCTTAATAACTGAAAATGAAAATTAGTCAGCGTAAAAGAAAATCAGCATGTCTTTTCGCTGTAGCAACACATTTTCCTTAACATTTGACATAAAATCACCCAACTCAGAGCTTAACTGCAAATTGAAAGCAAAGGTTTAAAAAAAAAAAAAAACAGAATTAAAACAGCCCCTATACTTCTTTTTTTGTTAATTGCTCTATGTTCTTGTTGTCATTGTTTACTGGTAATATTTTTCCACAGTGTGCACACTATATTCATCTTTTTTAAATAAAAACTGAACGCGGTTGTTATTCTTAATGTCTCACCATTAACCTCGATGATATTAAACATAAACAGCCATGCAGATTAGGATATTAGTCAAACTAATTAGTCATAATAGGCAACTATTTTATTACAACATACTTACCTTCACTTAATATGGGCAGCATTAATATAGACTATGAATGGCAAAGCACTACAAAGCTTTACTTAGTAAGGGAATAATTTTCTCTTTACGCAATAATGCAAATGTGCATAAATTAATGTGTCAGTGTGTTTACAGTGGGGCTAAAAATCTCCTGCTACAGTGCCTGGACGGAGTTTCAATAGTATTTCAATCACAGGAAGCGTCCAACTTACACTGTACGTTGAGCTGGATGGAAGAATTGGTCATCCCCACCACGTTCTCTGCGATGCAGGTCAGCTGGAAGTTGTTGTCATCTCGGCTGATGTTGAAAAGAGTGAGGTTGATAGAGTGGATGTTGGGCCAATATACGTTTGACTAAGGGAAAAGTGTGAGAGGCACAGAGAAAACAGAGGCATTTAGGTACCTCAAAGATATACTGTACAGCTAATACCATTATACCAGTGGGTTTTAAATCTTTAATTACTTAATTAAAATGAAAGTTAATTATTCATTAGTTAAATTCCTGTGGAAGGAAACGTAATAAAGTCAAGGACTACTTGATACCTGTGGGAATTAATCACTTCCCTGTCTGATTTCACTGGCATAGATCTAGCATGGCAGGAAGAATGTAAAGAGCAATATTATCAAATTTTGCAGCACCTGGACTAATTACCGCCCATTAGGAATCTAATGGTGAAATGCAATCATGCTTGCTTTCTTGCTTTTAGCTGTTCAGGCTCTTACTCCCAAACACTTCACTCATCCCGATACAGCATCCTTCTACCCTAAAACATCAAGCCTGAGGCTGAAGTTGCTTTCATCTGTAAAGTCACTGCAAGCATTAAAGACACAGATGACAAATACAGTCGCACAGCAATTTCAGAGACTCCTGTTCTTTTCTTCTTGCTGTTTATCTCTGCAGTCGTTATTGCTGCGACGTCCCTGGGGCCTTTCTCGGGGAGCGAGATTAGTGCAAATGTAACCTTTACTGCACATCTAATCACAGAATCATAGGTTAATCTTGGACCTGGTAAAAACAAAAAGTCTATCCACATAGTAAATAGTTTTAGGTTTCCCTGTCAACATCATCTAAGTGCAAAGACATTATTAGCAGTGAACCAATCAGATTGTTAAACTTGTTCCTGTTTCTTTGTTATACATAGAATATATAGAAAATTGTAGATGATTTATCTTTTTAACCTATTTTTTTTGGTTCTTCAGCATTTGCTTAAAATTTATCTGAAACTTCTGTCAGGCCAATGAGTCTTACAGCTTAATCCTACAAGAGTGTGCGCTTACTGACACCTCAATTTACCACTGAGGCCTTTCAAGGTGAACTACATACCTGAACTAATTTTGTGTTACAAGTAATTTATGAATCTGAAACTCCAATGTGCATAAAATACAATACAAGCACCAATAATTAAAGTATAGAAGTTTAGTGCAATGCAAAACAAAATATGAGGTGTAGCAGTGAAGGAGAAATCAATCATTAGATTGTGCTCAAAGAATTAAGTTATCATAATGAGAATTAACAGGATTATTTCAGCTTAATAACTGTATATTAGCCTGAAGCAATGTTTGAAAAGCAGGCAAAAAGAAAAACATTGCTAAAATTTGTTGGTGTAAGGCAATGTAATTAATTTAAAAAAAAAATCTTTAATATGTTTGCTGTTTTTAGTATATATGCATGTCTAACCAGGTGTGTGTTGATGGAATGCAGGCCGCTGACAGTCCAGTCTACTTCAGGCAGCGGTGATCCAGATCCGTTACAGCTCACCGTCACATTGTCACCCTCCATCACCAAAACACTGCTGTGGCTCACACTGATCTCTGGTAAGTCTGAAAACACACACGTATACACACGTTACTGCGCGCCTGTCGCCATCGGTGTCTACATACTTTCACACCAAATCAATTAATCACTTTTCATTAATGTAATAAAATTAGCACAAAGGAAGCAGCGGGACACACATCCAGATACAAACACTCACACGCTTGCACAGTGTCACAGGGATGAGTCACCGCCAGGAGATAATACTGCAGAGACTCCAGCCTCTGTCAGAATCAACGCACTGCTCCTCACATCAGATTCACCCTCTGAACTCTGTCACACCTCCTCCCTTTCCTGTCTCAACTACTCTCCTTGCTTCTCTTCTCATTCCTCTAATTCACCTTTAACCCCTCCCTTCCTTCCTTCCCCTGCTTTCGTGTTGCTTTGTCGTCAGCCAATCTGCTTTTTTCTGCCTTACTCCTCTTCTTACCACCCCTCCCTCTGCTGCTTCTTCTTTCTTTTTATTTTTTTTTTTCTCCTTTCTAATCACAGACCTCACCTTTCCCTCCTCCTCTTACACTTACCACAGTTGTGGATGTACATGTTCTCCAGTCGTATCTTGGTGGCTCCATTTCTGCAGTACAGCTGCTGTGTGTTAAGCTTTGCTTCTCCTCTTTGATGCCACAACTGGATCCAACGGATGTCACAGCCGCAGTCGAACACCACACCATCCAGACGCCTTAGAAATAAGCATAATTAATATCAGTAACAGACGGAATAAAACAGACGGTGAGCAGTTACAGCAATATTACAACAACACAAAGAGCCTTAACAACAACATGAAAATAAAAAATGTATTATTACACAAATAGCAGCTAATGTTGCTAAACCTATAGTTTTTTCACATGTGATTTCCAATGAAAATAGCAGCAGTACCAGAAACAAAGAATATATAGCATGCATCTTCCCAATATATTAAAATACACCACGTGTAGTTCACAGAAACACAGATGTATCCTTACACAACTATTACACTCACAGACAGACAAATGTAATTATCACAGCAGTACAACTAAATTATCTGCAGTGGCTTCGTGCTAAAATGGTAGCCTGCTGTTCAGGAGTGAAGTAAAATATTTTTAGAAGTGTGAACAACCCAGAGGTGTTTAAGGTGTTTTAGTCAGGCAGTGCAAGCACAGGAAGCTCAAATGTTGCACATATTTTAAAATCATTCTATTTAGATAGAAGTTTGCACATGTAATACGAAACACTAACAGCCAAAAACAAATGCTACAAAAATCATAAGAGAACTTAAATTACTATAATTTTAGCACTCATTATTTGTGCTCGTGGGTTATATATAAAAAAAAAATCTATGTAGGGCAGGAAAGGGTTATACATATCCCAGAAAGTAATCATTTTAAAAATCAATGGTAAACCTTCAGTACCTGTCACTGGAGGTAAAACACATTACTGCCAAGCTCTGCATGAGCAACAAGGCTTGAGGCAATACAACACCATGCAAGGAAAATGAGAGGAACATTTCTACCACAATCTCAATCTAATCAGCGAGCAAATTAACATCAATCACAGATCAATTGATAGCGACTGATCAAACAATATCCACCACAGACGTACCTTTTCTAATGTTTTGTAAAAGTCAAATTAATTTGAGTCAGCAGACAAGACGAAAAACAATGAACGGCTGTACTGAAGGATTCAAATGTGAGGAGGTCAAAGGTCAGAGCAGTGTTCCGGCTATCAGTCGCAGGCTGCATTAGCGTCAGACAGCTATCACGAGGTTCCACTGTGCATACGTTTCAGTCTCACAGACGGGTGCACCAAAGGGCCACATTATTCAACACAGTATGCCACCTCTGCATTTTGCATATGTCCAATTTGGAAGCTGCGATTGGTCAATTTAGTCAAGATGAATGCCTGTCCAAATGCCCTTGACAAAGGTCAATAAGATATTGCAGAAAGCATGAATAATGTATGGACTATGTCTACCACTCAGTATAAAGTAATGAGAATAGATTCCCACAGGTGGATCTCAGTTATTATCACCTGCCCACTGGATCTTATACTGTATCCCTATATGTCACTATGTGACAGCTAACTCACTGAGCCCGCTGGTCCTTCCACCGCACCAGCCAACTGTAAACTTAATTTCCCTTTAATTACAGCAGCAGAAAACCTATTCAAAAATATTAACACTTATTAGCAGTAAACATATATAATTATATTTGACATTTAGTCACTCACATTTTTATCATTATACTTTCACCTATAAAAAAAAAAAATGCTAGACGGGCTATTTTTTCCCAATGTGTGATAAAGTAAGAGTGAGAAAGGCCACGGGTGAATTAATTCATTTAATATTGTACAATGCTGCCAAGCTTTGTTGCTGAGAAAAGTTAAATACTTACAATTTACTAACTAATAATGTCACTTTCATTACAGTATTAATTTGATTATTAACTGATATTCCAAATCAATATTTTAGTGTATTTTATAAAATACCACTGTTGAGGTGTTTAATAACATGTTAAGATTTACCCACTACTACCACGGATGGCTGCTGGTTACATTTACCATTGCAGGTGTAGCTTTTCTGTTTTTTCTTGATTCAATTTCTATGTGGAACGTTTGAAGGGAAGATTAAGTTGCAGGATTTTTATCACTTATATATTCAGCTAAAAAAAGAAAAGAAAAATAGTACCAAATATATATTCATTCTAGACAACTGCTATGCTTATGAAAGAGCCTTCATCTGGTTCCCTTCCAATATGAAAAACTGCAATAAAAAGGAACTTATAGGATATTCCTACATTTTACCACTGCAGGTTTGCTCTCAGGTAACATCTCGAGCAGAAAATCTATCTTTCTTACTGAAGCGATAAGACAAAGTACTCACACTAAGATGCCAAGAAGATTATAAATATAATTAAATTGATTGTATTCACTTAGATGTTGATCTTCGTTTACTGTAAGATGTTTTATTTAATGGTGCTTTTCCTCCAACAAAATTACTTTAGAAAAATTCAACAGCTTATAAAGCCAATTCTAAACTCTGAGGACAATAACCGCCTCAGAATCATAATTCGAACTGTAGTACAAACCATAGCTCGGATTTCTTTTCAGGACACATTTAGGGAAAGACAGGTACCTCCCCGCATCATGGTGCTGAAGAGAATTTCAAGGTTAAAGGTTTTCATTTAACGCTGAGCAAGCTGAACCACAAGGGATCAAAGCTCACCAGAGTAGGGCGGCCGAGGCTTTCCCTCTTGTACTGTAATTATGGTCATTATTAACAAGAACCACCACCTCAATACATTACCCACTATTCCTCTGGGTAAAGCTGATCGGCGCCTGTACAGATACAGCTGAAAAATGAGGGATGTCAAACCTAAATGGGAACGCAGAAACCCGGCATTTCAAATGTGTGCCCAGCCTGTGCACTACAGTAACAAAGAACCATTTGAGTTTAGAGTGCTCCCATCTAAACAAGCAATAAGACAACAGGAAAAAAAAAAAGAAAGCAAACTGACAGCTGGAAGCTGATACATGTCTGAAGGAGAGCAGATTAGACTTAGAAAAGAACAAAAGCAAACAGCAGTGTGACCCCAGATATAGAGAGCTAACAGCATGGCGTTTCCTTCAAGCTGGCTAACGATCCACCCTGCTACTCCAGAGAGGAGGTAATGATCACCACCGGAGGCTGTTTTTCTGGGAAATGTACACACAGGTGCTTTAGCTGAGGAGCCGTGGATCACAAGCAATGATAAGCCATATACTGCATTGTTGTTCGCATGCTTTGATCTCAGCTTGAATGCACTGCTTCCTCTCCTTTTACTGGAGGAATTATTTTAAGTTTTTAAATCCTGTGTGTTTAATAAATCGCCTTATTTGGCTTATTTTTACCACAGTGCTGAGCTGCCGGGTTTGACTAGGTGTTGTTGTTCCTGGCTTTGTGGTAATTCAGTACAAAGATGTTAGTCTATAAATGCTCGGGTTACCGGTTTAACTGGCTTTTGCTTACTTCAGCTACAGATGTTAATGTCTCCAAGAAGAAATGCAATATTTAGCTGACTTCTAGCTAAACCACTTTACTGATAACAAAATTAAATGGCTGAGTGGAGGATAGATAGTATGAGGGTATTTACGGTAACAGTTATTGCCATTTGGATGCCTTTTTACCATAAAAAGGTAAACTGTTACAAGACACGCCAAACAATGACCCTAAAA